TGTACACCAGGGATGTGTCCTGTCTCCATACCTTTTCAGCCTGTGTGCAGAACAGATTATCTAGGAGGATGGGCTCTATGAGGAGAAATGTAGGGTCAAGATTGGTGGAAGATCTATCAACAATCTACGTTATGCAGATGACACAACCCTGCTTGCTGAAACTGAGGAGGACCTGAAATGCTTGCTGCAGAAGGTCAAGGACTCCAGCCTTCAGTTTGGATTGAGGCTCAATGTCAAGAAGACAAAGATTCTCACCACTAGACCAATTGGGAGCATCAGGATGGATGGTGAAGAGATTGAGATTGTTCACAGCTTCAATTTGTTTGTCTCCACAGTCAGCACTCTTGGAACTAGTAGCCAGGAAATTAAAAGGCGTATTGCCATGGGAAAGTCTGCTGTTAGGGACTTCTCCAAAGTGCTGAAGAGCAATGGTGTCTCTCTGGAGACTTACTGTGCATCTGATACAGGCCATGGTCTTTGCTATCACTTGTTATGCATCAGAGTTGGATAATGACCAAGGAAGATATAAGGAGAATTGATGCCTTTGAGCTGTGGTGCTGGAGAAGAGTATTGAGAATACCATGGACTGCTAGGAAAACAAACAGATTTGTCCTGGAAAGGGTTAAACCAAGCTGCTCCTTGGAGGCAAGGATTCTGGGGCTTCGTCTGACATACTTTGGACATGTTGCAAGGAGGGACGGGTCCTTGGAGAGGGACATCATGCTTGGGAGGGTGGAGGGACAACGCAGGAGGGGAAGACCCTCTATGAGATGGATTGATTCGGTGACTGGGGTAATCGGGATGGGTGTATCAGAGACAGTGCGATTGGCACAGAACAGAGCAGAGTTTAGGGGCTGTTGTACATAGAGTCACAAGCGACTCGACGGCACATAACAACAACAACAATATATGTATCCTAGGATACAAGGGAGCTTTGGTGGCCTAGTGGTAAGATGCTGAGCTGCAATCCCAAAGGCAGGCAGTTTGAGGTCACCAGTTACTCTTGTGGGAGAAGGATCAGCTAGCTATTTCCTCCTGTGCTAATAAGTGCCTCTGAAAAACCTTCCGGAGGGTCAGCTTTGATCGGTACTGACTCTGTGGTACACAATAACAACAACGTGTATATCCTTAAAATAGTGTTTTGGAATAATGATTACAGTTGTCTATAGCGTGTGATGTTTAAGTGAAACCCCAGCTCCTGAAGGACAGGATAGGTGTCTCATAGAACAGACCCTTCAAAGAGTGTTCATCTTCAATGAGCACAGAGCCTCAGCTAATGAAAGTACCACATTGCAGCTCCCTTTCCATCCAAGCAAAGAACTGCACTGCAGAAAGTCTTTAGCTGGCTAGTTTTGATCATTGATGGCTTAGATTCCCTCTGAGCTGTAACCTTGACCCCATAATTGGCTTGTCCATGTGCATATCTCATCAGCTTTATTGTTATGAATGTCACTGTGTCTTGCCAGGTACGCTTTTGATCCTGGGCAGGAAAGGATGTATTTTTGCCTCTTTTATTGGTGGCTAACAAGATTCTTCTGGTGCTTGAGTAGCGATTTCCAAAATTAAGGAACTTACCCTAGTGCAACTTGTTAGAGCTTGATTAAGCATCTGTTGTGTTCACACATTAATACCGAGGTTGTTGTAGCCATTGTGTTTGCTTTACCCAACTTCTATTTGTTTATATGCTCCTTGGTCTTTGAATCTGTAAGTGAACATCATTTTTTAATCAGAATAGTGTGAGCTGAGCACAGAATTTTGAAACAAATTTTGACTTTAATACTTTCCCCAGTTCCTGGGGGGTCCCCAAAGGATGCCCACGCCCTTTGGTAGCCAGGTTTCGAGGTGATGGTCCCACTCTTCAATATCAACCTCGTTTTTGGATCTCCTCCTTCCTGGGGCTCTCATTAGATGGAACTTAGTCATTTCTTTATTAACGGCTTTGTAGATAGACTTCACATAAAGTACAGTTCATCCATTTACAGGGTACAATTTAGTGGGTTTTAGTCTATTCACAGGGCTGTGCAACCGTCACCACAATTGGTTTTAGAATATTTCCATCATCTTCATGTAATACCCATACTCACCACCACCGGTCCTCTCTGCTTCCAACTTCCCAAACCTGGACAACCACTAATCTACTTTCTGTTTCTACAGAATTGCCTGTTCTGAGCATTATATATCTATCTCCTGTCATACAAGGTGCACTCTTTTGTGATCAACTTCTTTCACTTGGCATAATGTTTCCAAAGTTTATTGTCTGTGTCATGGTATGTGTCAGTACTTCATGTCCTTTTATTGCCACATAATCCTGTTTTGTGAATAAACAGCATTCAGATTATGTTTATCCACTTGTCAGTTGATGAGCCTTGGTGGTGTTCCTGGTATTTTCTGTCATGGTTCATACCACCATAAGCATGTGTGCTATGCTTTTGTGTAGACATCAATTTCCTCTTCTCTTGAGTGGACAGCCAGGAGTCGAGTGCACCAGATGTTAGCTCCCCGTGTAACCTTGTGAAGAACTTCCAGGCTTTTTTTCCTGAGGCAGCTACACCATTGTATGTTTCCACTGGCCGTTTTCACCCTTTTCCCACATCCTTGCCACCATTTGGTATCATCTGCCTTTTTGTTCCTCTTTGTCATTTGGGGTTTTTTAAAAAAACTGTTGCACCCAGCGTTCTCTGGTCACTGGTTCATCCTTTGAAGCTGTGGTCGAGGTTGTGTGTATCCCTCCGGATCCTTTCTACCTTGCTCCGTACCCCTTGGGGCTGATCTCTGTAGGCTGGCTCCATTGATTTCTCTGCCTTCTGCCTTCCATTTAGGTTCAGTGACTGAAATCAAAAGGAAGGAGGAAAGTGAGTTTAGAACATTTCTTCTCCCAACTTCTACTCTCCCAGAGGCCTGAGTTCCTGTCAGGCAGCTCTTTGGTTGAGCCACCCTCTCTACTCTTTACAAGTTTCTCCCTCCTTCTGCCTCTCCAGTTCCAGCAGTGGGAACAGCTGTCCATTGTTGTTGGCCCTGGGGTCTACAATATCCCTTCTAGTTTTCCCTTAATCTGGTCCTCTCTGTTTAAACAGTCCCTTTAATAAATTCTTCCCCGTGTTCCACGTTTGTCCTGTTGATACAGTGGGGGACCAGTTACTCCTCATCATCATGCCACCATTTAGCCGCTTGTTATGTGTTGTCTAAAGACTGATGCAGAGTATAAATACCAGCTACTTATGTTTTCACAGGCTTACATAAAACTTGGGAACTACCAAAAAGCACTGGTGGATTGTGACTGGGCTTTAAAGGTAAGAAATACTGCTTTTTCCATATCACAATGTTGTGCTCACTCAGGCCAGGTGTTTTAAGACAGTCTTGTCATGAATACAAGTCAACTGCCAGCATACAACAGTCAGTAGGTACAGACTTGGCCATCAGAGCCTTGATTCTTTCATCTGTGCCATGGACTAGAATAGAATTGCTATGAGGAGTGTGATAATGTACATAGTCAGGAGGGACAGAAACTTGGAGAAAGACAGCATGCTCAGAAGGGTAGACGGAGAGCACAGGAGAGGAAGACCCCCCAATGAAATGGATTGATACAGTAAGTAGGGCAATGAGGGTAAGTGTGTTTGAGTCAGTGAGACTGGCTTAGGACAGGGCAGGCTTCAAAGTTGCTGTACATAGGGTCACTATGAGTCGCCCACGACTCGACAGCACATAACAATACCACCACAGAGTAAGACCTCCATAGTACTTGGTGCTATGTGCTGTCGAGTCAACTGCAATGCACAGCAAGCCTCTGAACGGTAGACCTGAACCCTGCCCCATCCTGTGCCACCCTCACCGTCTCTGGTTAGACTCCCAGCCAATTGTTACAATCACTGTGTCAGGTCATCTTGTTGAAGATCTTCCTCTTCCGCTGACCACCTTTTCCAGCTTGATGTCTTCTTCCGGGAACTGTCCCCTCTTGACAATGTGCTTAAACTACGTGAGACAAAGTTTCACCATCCCTGCCTCTCAGGAGCACCTTGTTGTACTTCCTGCAAAACAGGCTTGTGTATCTGTGGGCTACTCAACACTCCTTCCCAACACCACAATTCAAAGGCATTGGTTTTTCTTTTGTCATCCTTATTCATTGTTCAACTTCTAGATAGATAGAAAGCAACTGAAAAGACTGTGGCGTGGATCAGCCAGACCTCAGTCTTTAAGTTGACATTGCTCTTTAGTACTTTGCAGAGGTCCTTGATGGCAGATTTCCCCAAGGCAACACGTCTTCTCATTTTGTAAGTGCTACTCCCATAGATGTTGATTGTGGAGAATCCATGAAGCTACTGTCCTTATTGGTTTCTCAAGATTGTCTGTCTAAAAGGCTTATGGGGTGGGAGGGTGAGCCACTTTTATCCATGTGAGGGTGGGACTGCCCCTTCCTTCTTCTGGAACCTGCCACGGAGCAGATTTCTGCAGCGTTATCATACTTCCTCATCATTGTGTGCTTTCCCTCTCCAGCCCAAATGAACTGGGAATAATAGCATCCCTGTTAGTACAGAAATAATCCGAGAAAGAATTCCTGCCGTTTAGCCTGGAGAGCAGTCAGCCTCAGGCAGTTAGCACAATCCTGTGTACATGGTGTTTCCTCCAAAATCTGCCAAAAAACATAATCAAAGGAGAGCAGAAGTGAAAATTGTTGGTGGAAATAAAACAGGACTTTTAAAGGAGAAACAGCATGATCACTTTGGGGGACATTATTTCAGATGGCTGAATATTTATATAACCCTTAATCCAAAACAAACTCCTTGCTATTGATTCAGTTCTGACTCACGGCAACCCTGGAGGACTGGTGAAGAACCGCATAGCATTTCCTGAGCTCGAATCTTTATGGAGGGAGACTGCTACATCTTTCTGCAACCTTTCTGTAACCAATCAAAGTCTCTTTAGTCCACATCCCCTTAGAGGGCCCTAGCACATGCGTTAATGAAATAACGGAAACCCATGATTCTCAGACACAGGAGCAGAAAGTATGGCATTCTTTCCAAGACCTCCTGGAAAATTTTGCAGTACACTCCTTAAAAATCTGTGTTTGTTTTCAAAGAAAAAGATTGTTTTTAAATAACATACAGTCAAGTAAAACTGAGGTGCCAGGAGAAAGTGCCAAGTTTATGCTGTGATTTACACAGTGAACACGGCCCCAAACCAGAGCCTTCATAGGAGCATTGTGGTCACATACCCACATGTTTATTCTGTACTGCGAGGTTATGTGGGGAAACAGGATGGATTAAAAACTCAGCTTTGTTGGGAAACCAAAACCAAGAGCCCAAACCAGTGGCCATCAAGTCATTTCTGATTAATGGTGGCCCTCGATGTTTGTGCTTCAGTTGTAACTTTTTTCCTATTTCCATAGGATTTTCAGTGCTTATAACTTTTCAGAAACAAATTACTAGGCCCTTCCAAGGAACCTCTACATGGACTAAAGCCACCAACCTTTTGCTTAGAAGATTGCATCATTCAGGCAACCTGTTCCTTCATTACTAAGGGTACCAGTGCTGTTTGTTGTCAGTAAGTCATCCCTTAACTCATAATGAGTCTGCACACAACAGAACAGAACTCCGCTGGCCCAGTACTATCCTTCATGGCGGGTTATGGAGTGGACTCTTCGGGTGTACAGGGTATTCATGGATTGGATTTCAGAAAGACATCTCCAGACCTTTATCCCTAGTCTATCTTTGGCCAGAAGCTCTGCTGAAACCTATTTGAGCATCATAGCAGCACATAAGCCTCTTGGATGGACAAAGTAGTGGGTAAGCTTCAGTGGTGTTGGCTGAGAATTGAACATGATCTCATGCATGGAAAATAATAAATAATAAATCTCCGACTGAGTCACTGATGCTGTTGTTATTAGATGCTGTCGAGCTGGTCTCTTCTCATAGTGACTGTGTAAACAACAGAACAAACCCTGCCTGTGTTCCCATAGTCTCTGCTGTACCTGAGGCCATTGTACTGTCCCCATGTCTATCCATCTCCTTGAGAGTCTTCTTTTTGCTGACTCTCTGCCTTTCCAAGCATGATATCCTTTTCCAGGGACTGGCCCCTCCTGGTAACATGTCCAAAGTATGGGAGGCCTTTTGAATCTGACATCTACAGTTGTCCATTTCCTTTATCTCTTAGAAGAGCTGATGAGTAGCAAATCTTACCCCAGTGGAATGGTCTTTAAGTTGTAAGAGCTGCCCAAAGCTACAACACTGGGTTTTAACAGCTCCAGGACACATCCACTGACCTGTTTCTTCACCTTCTTTGATTGTGTTTTCTTTTCCTACCATCATTTCATATGAGAGAAAAGAGGCAAAGAGGTTTTTTCCTTTTGTTATTCCAACAATAACAGCAAAAACGACTATTCACTGCATGCTGACCGTAAACAAAGACCTTTGAGTCTCATGACAATCCTGTTCTCTTCCATTTTGTTGAGCACCATATTATTATTATTGCTATTGTTGTTAGGTGCCATTGAGTCAAGTATGACTCATACTGTCTCCACCCCCCTCCCGTGAACAGCCAACCTGACACTAACACCCATTGCTGAAGTCACTGTGTCACTCCATCTTCCAACTACAAACCAGTGTACCTCGCTCCTCTCCATGGTGTCTCCCACCAAACTCTCGACTCCAGGATCTGCTCTCGGGGCCTCCCAGAGTATCTTTTCTGATCAGGAAAGGGCCGGTGAGGAAGTTACACCATCTTATTGATCCAGGATAATGCACAGACCTGCTCTCAGATGTTAATTGATGCACATTGTTATTTGCAGCAAAACTGAGGAGGCAAATCAGGCCCAACAGAGCTGACAGTAAAAAACACTGACAGGCAGCAGCCTGTCTTGTTAAATGCCCAGCGAGGTTCCCAGTTGAAGTGGTTTAGGTAAACACTTGGAAGGATGGGAACAAAAAGTGCACAAAGAGTTCTAAACACTAATAATTATTATCCCTACATGGACATTGTGAATGAAAAACTTCACTCTCTTGAAAGTGCTGTATCAATGAGGAATGCCACTGACCCTCTTATAATAGTATTACTATATTTTTACTCAAATAACATATGATTTCTCTGCTTGCTAATTTTTCCCCTACCCCCACCTTGGCATACCAGGCCACTTTTATTTATTTTTTTAAAAAGCAACATGTTTAAAAAATGGCATAGTAATGTTTATGTAATGTTAAGATACCTTTGGGGGGGGTAAAAATACGGTTACAAGTTTCACCCCCTGTGTAATGTTTTTGACACTTTTGAATTTGTTGAAATGAGCTCACGTGATGCTATTTCGATGCTATTTCGAGACTGAGGTTCCTTGAGAAGCAAAGATAAAACAGCGAAGCTGGTTTCAATTAGGATCAAAATCATTCCTTTCTGGGACAATGAAAGATAGCTTCCTCTAAAGGCAGGATTCCTTTTAAGGGGCCCTGAGGTTTGCCTTGAGGAAACTCTGGTGGGGACTGGCACACTCTTAAAGGGGAAAGGGCTTGCTAGTGAGAGAATCCATCTGTCGCTCTTAGTGTCTCTGCCTGAGGAAGACGTGGGCACAGGGACGGGAGCACAGGGGCCACGGGGCAGTGCACTGATGAGGGGGATGGGCAGGTGTGTCCCTGCCTCTTGTAGCCCCAGTGCTCCTCAGCTAGAGCATGGACCATGATGTACCATGAGTGAGTTTTCATTCCTTTCCTGCTTCCTTAATCTCATCCTTTAGAAAATTACCAGGCTTCATTCCTTGGCCTCTTGCCTTCTCTCTACATTTCTCCTTCAAAGCTCTCATCTCCTATCATGGAGACTTACCATTTAAATCCAAGTATATAGACCCCCAGACTTGGCTCCAGACTCTCCCTTAGCTCCAGCCTTCAGAGTAGCTGATGCAGTGTCAGTCTTTCTTTGCCCTGTAGCCCTAGGGCTTGGGCCTTCCTTTCCCTGTGTTACCAGCGACTTTAGAGGCTAACCCCTTATTCCAAGTGACTGTCTTGGTCCCCCAGCTATCTCCCTGCCTCCCTCTCTTCTGGTCAGCTCTCAACCACCCAGCTGCCTCCAGACTGCTGTTCCGACTGGTCTCCTAGTCCACTTTGGGCTGACTTTCTGAGCCTCTCTGTGGAGTCACTGCCTAGCTCACTGTCTTTTTACCTCCACTCCTTTCTTCCTTCTATCCTCTCCCTCCCTGTCACTCAAAAGCACATGCAGGCCCCTCCTCTCTTTTAGACAGTCTCTTCAAAGTCAATCTCCTTCTACTGATCTCCTCTAACATACTCCTGATTGTAGAGGCAAAAGGCTAAATTTCAAATCCCAATACAGTTCTACTTACAAGATATGGCATCTTGAACTCCTTCAACTCCTAGTTTCCATAAATGGGGTTAAAGGAGGCAAAGATGGTAAAACTCTTATATATACTTTGGGCCTGTTGTCTAGAGGGCCCAGTCTTTGGAAAAAGACATCATGTTGGGAAAGGGAGAGGGCTGGCTAAAGAGAGGAAGACCTTCATGAGATGGATTGACACAGTGACTCCAAGAGTGGGCTTGAGTGTGGAGATTGTGAAGATGGCACAGGAGAGGTCAAGGCTCAGGTCTATTGCTCATAGGGTTTCTGTGAATCCCGGTGAACTTGGTAGCACCCCACAATAACAGCTGCACAGAATTGTTTTGAGGCCTAATACTTCACAGGCGATCATTCACACAAGCCATCAAATTTGGTGCATTTTTAAAGACTCTAATGATAAGGACTCAATGTGTATGAACTAATATTATTATTGTATTAACTTAGCAGTGAGTTAGAAAATTATATATATATGAAGAGTACAGAACTAAATCTTCTCTAAATATAAAAATTATATTTTTTTAGAAATATATTGACTTCCTCCTTGTCATTTATATTTTCTTTGAATTTTTTCTTTGTCCTTGAAATGGATTGCTGTTGTTACTGTAGCAACAATAGCTGAGATTATACCTCCGATACTGTGCAATTTTGCATACAAGACAACCCGAGAGAGCAGTACTGTTATTATCTTCCCGTTCCAGATCAGGAGAATGAGCATCAGAGAACAGGTGGCCCACATCCTGCCCACATCGTGAGAATGACAAGCCAGGGACTGATCCGGGGCTTTTGTGACTCCTGAGATTGCACTCCTAATCCCTGAAGTTCATCCAGCCTGGCCACAATGCCCCACACATAGAAGAAGTTTATCAATAATTAATTATCTGCATGATCTTAACTCCAGTTTGTGTCTCTGTATCAACTTATACTCTCTGCAATTAACAATAATTAGCAGCAAGCTGATGTGAGGCCACTCAAGCAAATAGTACCCCTTCAGCCATATTTTTCATCCTGCCTTTGAGGGGAACATCACTCTAGGTTTTAAGTTCCCAGTATACATAATGTTATTTCTTTTGGGAGAGGAACTTCCCCAGCATATTGTGGTAGCCTCAGCTGTTCATCCACTGTAGTGTTTCTTTTCTTTCAATAAGCCATTGGTTCCCAAACACACATGCACGCTTCTTGAAAACTTAAAATATTAATGGGTAGGTGCTACCCCAGAGCAAAATTTAATTGATGTGGCGTGTAGCCTGACCATTTAGGTCAATCCCAGGTGATTGTTCTGTTCAGCCAAGGTGAAGAGTCCTGTAAAGGAAGAATCTCTGGTCTGCTTCCTGCCTGTGTCCCATCGAGTGAAAACTGGTGAATAGAAGTAATGAACTTGATAGAGAGCTGTGTGAGCAGCCAGGCTCCTTGTAGACGACAATCAGTATGGCCGCAGAGGCACAGAAAGTTTTCATTGTCCACTTGGCAGCTGTCCTCAGCACCAAAGTTCAGATGTAACTCTGTTAGCGCAACAGTTAGAAAAGTGACTAATGACTTCAAATCTTCTGAAATGTCTGATCAATCATTCTCTTTTATGCAGTGTGATGAAAAATGTACAAAAGCCTATTTCCATATGGGAAAAGCCCACCTGGCTTTGAAGAACTACAGTGCGGTAAGTTCTTAGAGGACTCTAAGCGGCATGTTAAATCACAGCTTGGCTCTCCCGAAGGTCCCCGGGGAGAACCAGGTTCCACCGTGTTGATTAGATGGTAATCCACCCTTTATTATTTTCCAAGGTCAGCTTAAAGTCTTGAGGTTGTAGAGCATGTTGAATGTCCTCTAGTGCAGTCCCACTCACTGTGAGAATCCCTTCCACAACATTCTCTCCCAGTATTTATACAGCCTGGAGGAGTATCTCTGGAGAGAGAAGCCACACACAGTAAGATGAAAACAAAGCGCCTTTGTAATCTCAACACCCGCAAGTAACTCCCCTACAATACAAAGGTATTGAACACTTTTAATGGAAGCTTTATTGAGGTATAGTTTATATATCATACAAGAAGCCTATTGAAGGTGGTTTTAAGTATATCCACAAAATTATGCAGCCATCACTATAATCAACTGTAGAACATTTTCATCACTTACTTCTAAATCCTATACCCATTAGAAATCACTCACCATTTCTCGCTCTTACCCTAACCCATTGACTAACCCAAATCCATGACTCATGGAGAGTCTTTGGGACAGAGTAGAATTGCTTTATAGGGTTTGCAAGGCTGTAAATCCTTAATGAAAGCTGACTGACACAGCTTTCTTCCTCAGAGCAGTTGGTGAGTAGTTTATTAACACAGGAGTGCTAAATCACTGTGCCACAAGGGTTACTCAAACTGTGAAAACCCTCTGCCCCCCAAAAAAGAAAAGTTGGGGGGTCCTGGTGGCCTAGTGGGAAAGCAGTTACACTACCAAGCCAAAGGGAAGTGTTTTGGATCCACCAGCTGCTTGACAGAAAAAAGATGGGCAGTCTCCTCCCATGTGATTTACAGCCTCTTAAAACCCACTGGAGAGTCAGCCAAGAACTGTAGACAATATCTTTGCCTACTCTGGACATTTTATATGAACCGAATCATACAATTAATGGCTTTTTGTTACTGGCCTCTTTAGTTATTTGTTACCGGGGTTTGGATTTTTTTTTTTTTTTTACTTTTTGTGATTTGCTTGAAATCTTAACAAAGCAAATTCATTTTGCATTCAGTATTCATACACTTAATGCTTCATGACCGTGATTACACTCCCCACATCTTACTGTCACTCTTCCCACTCCCTCCCTGTGTTTCCATTTTCACCCATCCTTCTGTCCGGCCCCTTCCTGCCTTCGGGACTTTGTCCCTGGGCAGATGCTGCCTTTTGATTTTCTTCACTCTTCTTTGCTCCAGATGGGGAGAGGTCAATAGTTGCAGCTGAGATAGATACTTGAAAACTTTTAAGACCTATGACTGGTTAGCATAATGTTTTAAAGATTCATCCGTGTTGGAGCATAAATCAGAGTATTATTGCTCATTATTACTGAATGATATTATACTGCGTGGATATATGACATTTTGTTCATAGTTGATGGGCATTTTGGTTATTTCTACTTTTTGGCTATTATGAATAATACTGCAGTGAAATTTCATGCATCAAGTTCTGTGTGCACATATCTCTCAGTCAGCTTGAAGAAGACTAAGGTTTGGGGTCATGGAGGAACCCTGTGCTTAGTTTTTGAGAAATTGTTGGGCGATCTTACTGTTTTCCAAAGTGGCTGCAGCATTTTACATTCTTATCAGCAGTGTGTGAGGATTCTAATGTCTCCATATGCTCCCCAACACTCCCTCTTCCCTTGTCTTTCTAGACATCCATCTTATGATGGTTTTGATTTGCATTTCCCTCATGGCTAAAGCCTTTTTTTCTTTAGCATTTCTTCCCTTTGTTTTGGCTTTTTAACACTGTAGTGCAATTATCAGAGTCTCTTCTAACATCCATTCATTGATTTTTGCGTTTTTTTATTTCTTCTTTGTGTTCTGAAAGCCCTTTTAGGGAACTCCAGCAGCCTAGAGGCAAGAAGCTGCACTAGAAGCTACAATCTCAAGGATGGGCGATTTCCTCCTGTTTGATTAACTGCCTCTGAAAACCTGCTCTAGGGTCAGCTACGAGTCAGTTGTGACCCTATGGTACACAACAACAATAATTTCTGACATTCATTTATCCATTTCTTGGTCTTCCTAAAGACCTTTTGCTCTCTTCATGGATAATATCCTTAAAGGCATTGCACAACTCATCTGATCTTCAATCACTTCGATCACTGCCTCAAACCTGTTCTTAAGATGATTTTTAAATTCAGGTGGGATAGCTCAAGGTCATATTTTGGTTTTTTGGACTTGTTTTAATTTTCTTCAGCCTCAGTTTGAAGTTGGATGGTCTGTTCCATAGTCAGCACCTGGGCTGGCTTTGACTGCTCATACTAAATTTCTCCAAAAATACCTTTCACAGATGTAGTCACTCTGATTCCTGTGCAGTACATCAGATGAGGTTACTGTTTGTGATTTTTCAAATGACATTTGCAATTAATAAATCATTTAATGTACAAAATTTGATCATTCAATTTCCAGCCTTGTTTCTGATTACCAGTCCTGTTCATTGTTTCCAACTTTTGCATTCCAGTCACCAGTTATCATTAATGCATCTTGATTGCATGTTTGGTCAATTTTAGACTGAAAAATTTGTTAAAAATCCTCAATTTCCTCCTTGTTAGCTTTTGCTGTGAGTGAGTATATTTGAGTAACAGAAGATTTTAACCTTTAGAAGTTTAAGAAGACAAAGGCAGATTGAGAAGACAAAGTATTATAATGGAATGTGCAGAGAACTAGAATTGGAGAATAAAAAAGGAAGAACTTTCTCAGCATTTCTTAAGCTGAAAGAACTGAAAAACAAATCCAAGCTTTGAGCTGCAATACTGAGAGATGCTATGGGCAAAATCTTGAGTGATCCAGGAGACATAAAAAAAAGATGGAAAGAACACACAGAGTCACAGTACCCTAAGAATTGCTAACACAGAAGTATTTCAGGAAGTACCATATGATCAAGAGTCGAAGATAATAAAAAAGTTCAAGCTTCAGTAAAAGCATTGGCTAAAAATAAGGCCTCCGGAATCAATGGGATTTCTTTTTTTTAAAATAATTTTAATGAGCATTTACAGAGATTTTGGATTTCCATTCATTCATTGCTGCACTCCTCTCCCCGCCCAGCCCCCCCCCCCCCCAGTTAGTTCGCTCTTCTCTTTCAAAAGCAAAAGAAACACTCCCTCTCTCCTCCCTGGGTCACAATCCCCCCACACCCCTCCCGCCGCCCCAAGTACACTCCACTATGCAACCTTAACTGTGGACTCTTATGATAATGCCACTTTCAATGTTACAATTAACAGATGCAGCAGCCCTAGATGTGCTCACCAAACTATGCTAGAAAATTTGGAGGACTACTTCCTGGCCAGAAAGAGATCAATATTTATTCCTGAGAAAAGTGATCCAACAGAAAGTGACAATTATTGAACAATATTATTAATATCACATGTAATCTAAATACTCAAGAGCAACAGTGTCTCTTAGGAGACTAAGGTCCGCCTGATACAGGCCATGGTTTTTGCAATCACTTACTTGTTATGCATCAGAGAGTTGGACAATGACTAGGGAGGACAGAAGGAGAATTGACGCCTTTGAGCTGTGGTGCTGGAGAAGAGTATTGAATGTACCATGGACTGCCAAGAAAACAAACAGATTCATCATAGAGAGGATTAAACCAGGCTGCTCCTTGGAGGCAAGGATTCTGGGGCTTCGTCTGACATACTTTGGACATGTTGTAAGGAGAGACAGGTCTTTAGAGAGGGACATCACGCTGGGTAGAGTAGAGGGACAGCCCAGGGGGGGAAGACCCTCTATGGGTGGATTGATTCAGTGACTGGGGTACTCAGGATGGGTTTGTCAGGGGCAATGAGATTGGCACAGGATAGAGCACGGTTTAGGGCTGTTGTACATAGGGTCGCTGTGAGTCGCAAACGACTCGACGGCACATAACAACAAACAACAACAATCTAAATACTGCTGAAGATCATTAAAAAATGGCTAGAACAAGGGAGCTCTGCTGGCCTAGTGGCAAGAAGCTGCAGTATAATCCCAGGTGCACTGTTCGAATCCACCAGATGCTCTGCTGGAGAAGGAGGGACAATTTCCTCCTGTACCAGTCAGATTAAATTTGATGGTACATGTTGTTGTAGTTAAGTGCTGTCAAGTCATAGGCGACTCATAGCGACCCTATGAACGAAAGTCCTCAACTCTTGCATGACTTTCATCCTTGCTTCAGGTTCATAGGGTTTCTGATACATACACACAAAATAATAAATTTTTTTTTAAAAAAATGGCTAGAACAAGTCCATAGATAGGGAACGTCTAGTTGTTCAAACGGGATTTAGGCCATGGCACCAGAAGTATCATTGCTGATGTCAGATGGATCCTGGCTGAAAGGATCATATACTAGAAGAATGTCTTCTTGTGTTTATTAACTATGCAAATTCATTAGACTGTATGGATTATAACAAATGATGGCTAACATCAAGAAGAATGGCGACCCCAGAACACTCAACTGTGCTCATGTAAAACCTATACCTAGACTAAGAAGCTGTTGTCTGAACAGAGCAAGGGAAACACTACATTGTTTAAAGTGAAGAAAAGTGTGGGTCATGGTTGTATCCTTTTTCCATACCTGTTCAGTCTGTATGCTGAGCAAATACTCTGAGAAGCTAGGGACTCTATGAAGAAGAATGTAGTGTCAAGATAGAAGGAAGGCTCATCAACATCCTGCATTATTTAGAAGACACAGCCTTACTTGCTGAGACTGAAGAGGACTTGATTCAGAAGATCAAAGAATATAGCCCACAATATGGATTATTCTCAACCTCAAGAAAATGGAAATTTTTACCACTAGATCATAGGCAATATCAAAATAGATGGAAAAAAGATTGGAATTGTCAATGTTTTCTTATTACTTGGATCCACAGTCAACATCCTTGATACCAGAAGTCAGGAGATCAGGAGTCATACTGCATTGGTAAAATCTGTACTCAGGGACTTCTTCAAATTACTGAGGTACAATTATATCACTTTGAAAACTAAGGTATACCTGATTCAGGTCCCGGTTTTCAGTCATTGCTATGCATCTGAAAACCAGACAATGAATAAGGTTGACAGAAAGAGAATTGAGTGTGTATGGATTTATATTCGATAGAGAAACAACTAGACACTAGAATTGAGTGAGCAGGTCTTGATTTGCATCTCTCTGATAGCTTGGGATTTTGAACATTTCTTCATATGTTTGTTGACCATCTGAATTTCTTTGATGAAGTTCATTCATGTCTTTTGCCCATTTTGTGATTGAGTCATTTGCCTTTCTGTTGTTGAGGCGCTGGAGTATTCTGTAAATTTTAGATCTGAATCCTTTATCAGATCATTACCAAATATTTTTCCCAGTCTGTGAGCTTCCGTTGGTTTTTGGTGGGTTTTTTTTCTGTTTTCGGTGGGAGGAGGGGTGCAGGAATTCATCTGGTCCAGGGCTTTTTTGTTGTTGTTGGAAGTTTTTTTATGACCGGGAACTATCTGGTGTATTGACAATATATTATAAAAGAACAAGATCAGAGAACCAGTTAGAAGTATATTGTAAGGAATTATCAAAGTGAAAAGTGACTTGGATCAGGTGTAAAGGTGTGAGTGGTCAGAATTGGGAGATTTGGAGGCACGGTGGTGACGGTGTCATTATTATTAGACATCTGTCATCAAGTTGATTCTAACTCATGTGTTCAACAGGATACTTCTTGATTCTGTGCTGTCCTTAGAATTGCTGTGTTGTGTTTAAGTCCATGATTGCAACCACTGCGTGAACTCATCTAATTGAGGGTCTTGCTCTTTTTCACTGACCCTCTACTCTAAGTGTGATATCTTTCTCCCAAGACTGACCCTTACTGATGACATTCCCGAAGTACATGAGACAGTCTCACCATCCATGCTTCTTCCAAGACAGATCTGTCGGGGGTTTTTTTGCAAGTTATGGTGGTTGTTGTCGTTGTTATGTACCATCGAGTTGCTTGCGACTCATAGCGACCCTATGTACAAGAGCTCTAAATGCTGTTCTGTCCTGTGCCAACCTAGCCATCTCAAATGCACTTATTCCCACCGCTCCAGTCACAGAATCGATCCATCTCACCAAAGGTCTTCCTCTCCTTCACTTCCCCTCCACTCTGCCAAACATGATGTCCTTTTCCAAGGACCAGTCCCTCCTTGCAACATGTCCAAAATATGTCAGATGAAGCTTCAGAATCCTTGACTCCAAGGAACACTCTGGCTTCACCCTCTCCAGGACAAACCTGTTTGTTCTCCTAGCAGTCCATGGTATATTCAACACTCTTCTCCAGCACCACAGCTCAAAGGCATCAATCCTCTATCAACCCTATTCACTGTCCAACTCTCTGATGCATAGCACATAATTGCGAAGATTATAGCCCAGATCAGGCGCACCTTAGTCTCCAGCCTGACATTGTTGCTCTTCAGTACTCTTGAGAGGTCCCTCACAGCCGACTTTCCCAATACAATTCGTCTCCTGATTTCCTGGCTGCTGTTACCAAGAGCGTTGCTTGTGGAGCCAAGTAAATTAAAACTGTTAACTATCTCAATCTCCTCACCATCCATGCTGATGCTGCCAATTTGCCCAGTGGTTAGAATCTTTGTTTTCTTGACATTGAGCTTCAGTCCATATAGGAGGCTGTAGTCCTTGATCTTCTGCAGCAAGCGCCTCAGGTCCTCCTCAGTTTCAGCAAGCAGGGTTGTGTCATCTGCATAACGCAGGTTGTTGATGATTCTTTCACCAATCCTGATGCCACATTCCTCTTCGTATAGCCCAACGTCTCGGATGGTCTGTTCTGCATACAGATTGAAAAGGTATGGAGACAGAATACATCCCTGACGGACCTCCTTCTTGATTTTGAACCATGTAGTGTCTCCTTGCTCTGTTCTGATGACTGCCTCCTGGTCCAAGTATAGGTTTTGCATTAGCACAATCAAATGTTCTGGGGTGTTCAATATTATTTGCCAAGACTGCAATTGAAAAACATCCATTCTCCTTCAGCCTTCCTTATTCATTGCCCACCTTTTGTATTAATACAAAGCAATTGAAAATTGCTATGACTTGTGTCATGAACACCTTACTCCACAAAGTGATATCTTTGCTCTTTAATACTTTAAAGAGATCCTTTGCCACATATTTTCCCAATGCAATATGTCTTTTTTTTTTACTGCTGTTTCCACTGACAGTGTAGCCAGCAGGAATTGCTGATGAATTCGATTTTGGTCTGAGAAGAAATTGGATGCAAGGACATCATGTTTGATATATTACCTTCTATGAGTTGCAAGTGATTCTATGGCACATAACAACAACAACCTTACGGCATAGTTGTCTATTTAAATATAATATTTCCCTCCCTTCTTCAGTTTATTTTTTAATCCAGGTCTTCTAGACAAGCCTTGAGTCTTCTTGGAGCCAGTCTTTTTCTTAGCTTTGTTTCTTGCTGACTCATTAGACTGTCATTCTTATTGTTAGATGCTAGCTATCCAGTAAGCTCTGACTCATTACCACTGTGTGCGCAACCAAACCCTGCCCAGTCCTGCTCCATCCTGTCAGTTTCTGTTGCCCTAAAGCGCATCGGTGCAGACACTGCATCAGTCCATCTCGTTGAGGCTCTTCCTTTTCCGAGTCTCCACTTTTCCATCCGTGATGTCCTTCTTCACGGCAAGGCCCCTCCTGCTGGCGTGTCCAGCCATCCAAGCCTCTAGGAGCACTCCAGCTGCACTTCTGCCCAGTCAGATTCATTCCTTCTTCTGGTGGCCCACGCTATCTTCCACATCCTTTGCCAACCCCACCATTCAGTGACTTCAGTTCTTTTTAAGTCTTCCTCATTATTCAACTTTCTCATGCAGATGAAGCAATTGAAAAGACCATAGTTTGGATCAGGTGACACTTAGACTTTAAAATGACATCCTTAATCTAGACTATTCTTAATGCCTCTTAGGATAATACTACCCTAAATCAAGACATCTCGATAAACTGGAATTTCTTTTGCAAGAAACTTCCTCTGTTACAGACCTACTCTGCTCCTTGAGGGCCCCTCATTCCCATGTTTTCCTTATTCCAGTGGAAGGACCCTTGCTGGCTCCTTTGCACTGGGTGCTTCTAATTAGACACTCTTCCCTCTTGCATCTCTGTTGACAATGTCTCCAACCTCATTTCTTTTCCCACTTAGTCCCTGTGGACATATCTGACAGGAAGCCTCCTGTTCTCTCCAAGTGCAAATATCACATCTAAATTTTACATTTACCTTCTGATGATTCCTGTCCCAGCCAATCACAAACCACGAGAATTTAGGACTGGATATTTTTTATCACTATCCGTGTCTGAAAATTTCTGAAAATATATATATTTATTTTTTAAATAATACCTGTTGCCCCACAGAACCAGAGAAACCTAAGCAATACATCAAATGCGTGCCGACTTCTGCATGCCCACCTCCTGCTCTGGGCCCAGGGCAGATGGGGAGGAAATAATGAAGATCCTGAGCCCTGTGAGGCAGGGAGCCTTTCCTGTAATCACCTTTACCCCCCAGCACTCTTCAAGGTCTTGTTTCTCTTTTTTCCAGTCCAGAGAGTGTTATCAGAAGATCTTAGAAGTAGACCCCAAGCTGCAGACACAGGTGAAAGGTGAGACTGTTCCTGCTGACATCTTTCATGTGAATTTGATTTCTCTTTGTGCTCCGGCAGTGGGGTGCCAGCCACACGTTCTCTGCTCTTGGCTACAAAGCAGCCTCCTTCTTGCCTTCCCTGTGTAATCACACCCTCTGTGTTAACAGGCTTGCTCCGCTGTCCTCCCACTCTGATCTTTGCTGGCTTCCTCTTCTATGCCATCCTCTCCTAGGGCCATTATTTTAATGCTGCACATTTCTCAAACTCCCCATTCTCCAAAGGAGGTGGGGTGGGGAGCTGTTTCCTGCTTGGTAGGTGTTGATTTTTAGGGCTTACTTCTCTGTTTGTTTGCTTGCTTTGATAGATAGTCTAAATCAAGTAAACCTTCAGGAGAAAGCAGAACTTCAAGAGAAGGAAGCCCACAGATTGCTGAATTTGAGGAAGAACACAGCTGTGACAACCAGGAGTCTCCTGGAGACCCTTGCCAAGCCCGATCAAATCCCCTTGTTCTATGCAAAGGGGATTGAGATCCTGACCAGAATGGTGACAGAGTGTAAGCCAGAGATGTGTGTGAGCTCATGAGTGTGGAAGGCCTGAAGGAGGGGGAATTAGAGGTCGATACTTACCCAGCAAGGAAATCTCACCCTCTTATCCTTTCCTGTATGTTGATGGGAGGTCTACTGTGTGGTGAGTGCTAAGGGGATGCACAGGAAGTAGATGGAACAGGGATGGGGTGGGGGTCTTCCTGTCGGATAGCAGCAGCTCTGCTGAGCCTGCATATACTCAGAACATACATGTGACACAACACATTACACACATGCAACACATATACCACACACTCACTGCCACGATACTTAGACTACACACACATACACATTTGCATGTATACCATATCCACATTCCAGAAATACTTCTGCCATACACACAGCAGAAACTCCTACCCTTATGAACGTGTATCATATACACGCACCACACAGACATAACACACGCTCATACCATGCGTACTTATATACCCACACACCACACATCCTTCGCATAGCCCCTTATCTACTGTATACACCCCCAAAATCCCATTCTACTACTAATACCTTCCCCTAATACACAAATGTCAAACAAGGTTCAGTTTCTTCGGAAAGTTACAGGATAATGGGGAAGATTCACCCCAGTTGCATACATTTAATGACGGTTTAGTATGTGAGATAGTTTCAGAGGAAACACCAGCTCTCCTTCTACTAGTACGAGCAATGTTATTCCCTTTTACCATCTCTCGTAAACATTCAGTCCAGGGCTCACACAATTTTACTCACTCTGACAGAATGTTGTTTGTACAAATAGATGGCTTCTCCAACTTCCCTTTAGTATACAATGGAGGGTGCTCAAATACCCCTTCAGCAATTTCTCAGAGATTGTAGTTGCCTCTCCAGAGCCTGGAAATAGCTTAGAAACAAATAACATTTCAGAACAGAGGGAAATGGCGGCTATAAGTTAAGCAGCGCCCAATGTCTCTGAAGATTATACAATGCGCCAAAAGCCCATAGAGCCAAACCTCTGAACAAGATGCCCCTCTTTCTGTGACAATGAGTAGCTGTTTTGGCCAGTTTCTTTTTTTTTCAGGGCACAAAGGTGTTTGTTTCTGCCCCAGCTGTTAGTTTGGTGGCTTTAACCTGCCATATTGAGTCTGCAGTTGCCAGCTAGCTGTGCTTCAGCTGGTCACTAACCAGCCACTCAGGGGGTTGACATGGTTTCTCTGAATTTTTTTCAGGCCCAGAACAAACTTTATTCAGAACACACAATGGATTTACTATCATTGGCGACAATAAGGTCATAAAAAGGTACGGCTGTTTACCAAGGTAGGATATTTGACCGGAGCCCTAAGTAAGGAAAGGCAGTCGTTGCTTATGCAAACATTAATCAGGCAGCCAGCAACTTTACTGGATGCTTCTTTGCTTCAACCAGGAGTGGTGGTCCCAGGGAGCAAGAAGCTCATCCAGAGGCAGAAGATGAGCCTTGGCTATTGAGGAGTTTGAGATCTGCCACAGTTAACACTGGAAAAAGGGGTTATTATTAGATGCTGTCTGGTCAGCTGTCCCTCGCAGCGTTGCCGTGAACAGTAGATCTGAACCTGACCCTATCCCGGACCTCTTCACCATCTCTGATATGCTTGTCGGCATTGTCACTGTGTCAGTCCATCTTGTTAAAGGGCTTCTTCTCTTATGCTGACCCTCCTCCTTTTCCAGCATAATGTCTTTTTTCCAGGAACTGCCCCCCACCCACAACACGCCCAAAGTATGTAAGATGAAATCTCCGCATCCTTGTCTGCAAGGAGTATCCTGTTTGCATGTCTTTCAAGACAGACGTGAGGCAATAGGGGACTTGAAGGGCATCTCATGATCACTCTTGCTAGTTTCTTTTTTGTAAGATTGCTATATTTGCTTTTTGTCTTTGAGAATTTGCTGAGCTTATCAGGAAGCCTATTACAATCACACCCTTGGTTCCAGCCGTCAGAATATCAGGAGTTGTATTACATTGGGCAAATCTGCTGTCAGGGAACTCTCCAAATTTCAGAAGAGCAATGGTGTTAGTTTGAAGACTAAAGCATTCCTCATTCAGGCCATGGTCCTTTTTAGTCACTTGCTGTGCCTCTGAGAGCAAGACCATGACTAAGGATGCCTTGGAATTGTGGTGTTGGAGAAGACTAAATATCCCATGAAGTGTCAAAAGAACAGACAGCTATGTCTTGGGAAAAGTGCAGCCAGAAAACTCCTTGGAAGCAAGGATGCTGAAACTTCATCTCATATACTTTGAGCAGATTGCTAGGAGAAGCTATTCCATGGAAAGAGACATCATGCTTGGAAAGGTCAGGGAAAGCGGGGGAGACCCTCAATGAGACAGACTGACACAGCAACTACAGCAGTGGCCTGTGTCAAAGATGATGAGGATGGCAGAGAATAGGGCAGGATTCAGAGGGCCATAGGGTCGCTATGAGTCAAACTTGACGGCACACAACAAGCACCACCACCACAACAGGAAGCGAGATTAGCTGGGCCCAGAATGATCCCATTCATAATGTCATCTGAAAAAAAGAATTCTATGGTAGGAGATGGCTTGATGAATTTGTTATCTGCTTGAGCAGGAGGGCCCCAGGGACCCTAGTTGATCCACTGGCACAGGATCCAACTTACTGGGCCCAGTAATGGCCCCAGACCCGCCACGCACTCTTCCTGCAGCCTGATTTCTTGACCTGGGACTCTCAGTTCCCTGCTTAGTTATCAGGTGGTCTCGAAGGCCTGTGATGTGTGTTATCAGATGGCTTTCTTCAGCCCACTTTTGAGAAGTCAGGACAAATGAAGTGAAACTGAGTGAAATGGAGAGTCCAGCTGATTTCCGGGGTCACTGCTGCTCTCCTGCTCTCTCCTCTAGGTGCTTTTCTGCAGCAGCAAAGGATGCAGTTGAAGAGACGGTCTGTGTGTCTGTTCTCAGGCTCTGGCAAGCAGTGTGCAGTGGGAATGGTAAGCCTAGATAATCACCGTTAATCAGCCCTAATGTACTGTTAAGGAGGCGGCCATGCTGGCGGCCTGATTGGTCCCCTGAAGGCCAAGGTCTGGGCCCTGGAGCGCTGATGTCTAGACCTCCACCACCCCCAGCTCCCAAACCGTCCCTCCAACCTGAAAAAGCACATGGATCAAAAGCCAGGGCTGCGTTCCGGTTTTGTCTCCAGCGCCCTGCCAGCCACTTTCCTCTCCGACCTCAGGGCTCTGCCAGGCTGCCCAGTGAGTGACAGGCAAGGAGGTCACTCTCAGCATAATCAGTGGTCTCCTCACTTGGGCACTCTCTCGGCTCCTTGCAGACTCATGACTTTTGCTCAGGCCTCATTAATGGGGGGAGCCTGGACAGAAGTTACCCTCGCCTGTCTGTCTGAAGATACTGTCTCTTTTCGCTGACAGCAGTAAACACTTTAGCATCCTGAGATTTATGGCCATGCCAGCTGGAACTTTCTGATGCTGACTGATTAGGGTGTGATATTAGGGCAGTAAAAGCCTATGAGGGTTTTATTTACCTTGTTAGCTCAGAGTATGTAAACACACTAGCATCTTAAGGGATTCATTAAGTTTTTCCACAATCTCTTTTACTCTTCTTGTGACTCCTTTGTAAATAAAAGTTTTAAATGTCCTTTGCATCTTTAGAAAAATGTATCTTGGAGGGAGAAGGTCTGGCCTGGAAACAAGGATAAGGGCCACTGTGTCTCCTCTTTGCTGTGCCACTGTACATACCTGAGGAGACAGTTTGTGAACTGTTTGGGGGGTTTTTCCCCTACAAAGACAGTAATTTCAAAATGCTGAACAAATGTCTTTAGAAGAGGTCACCAGGCCTTCCTTCCGTGTTTTTTTTTAGTGTGAAAGTTCTACTGGGACCCATCTACATGGGTGACCCTGTGGTATTTGGAATACTGATGGAATAATTTAAGACAGTAGTTTTGTGGAGATATTAATTGTTGTGAGGTGCTGTCGAGTCAACCACAACTCGTGGTGACACTGTGAACAACAGATCTGATCATTGTCGTAACCTGTGCCCTGTTCACGAGCCCCAGCATGCTAGAGCCCATTGTGACAGTGTGTCAGCTCAGCTTGCTGAGGGATAAAGTAGAGACACTTTTGAAAGCTTCACTGTAAAATTGGCAACTTCAGCAGGGGCTTGTTTCTGGAAGGGAATTATAACCAAAGCAGCACCATCATCAAGCTGTTCCTAACCCATGTAGCACCCTGGAGGGCTCGGGAGGGTAAGGAAGGCAGGGCTTGGCGACCATCTGTCTGTTCACGGTGGATATGACACAGGGTCCTGTTTACTTTGGTTTCTGTGAACCTGGGAAGTCATTCTTTTTTCCTCTTAACATCTCTAGAATTATTGTTAAATTAGACAACAGCCTGTGATGTGAATGTTTTATCAGACATCAGTGAAATCTTGGTATGTCCATCTCAATAAGCACAAAGTTCTTTTTGAAAAGGATGTTTAAAAGTAGGAGCATGGGAATGTGTCTGTGATTTATTATTGAGTGAGAGATGGCAAGCCAATTACAGAGTACTTTGTCTAATGTTTTTAACATCACACCTGCAGAGGATGACTAACTGTTCCCCTAGGGGGTGGGCTTACCTGGAGGAAATGGAGAGAAGAGGGCTTTCATTTTCAGTTTTGTCCTATTTCTATGCTATTTGAATTTTTTTACAGTGAGCTATGTTTCCAGTGTAAGAAAAATCATATATACACACACACACTTCCCTTTCAAAACTCAGCAGTGTATTTGGCATTGTTGTAATTGTTGGTAGAGTCAGTTCCCACTCCTGGTAGCACAGGAAAAGCATTACAAAGATGGCCTAGTCCTGTACCACCTTCACAGTCATTTGTACGTTCAAGTCCACTTTGGGGGCTCTGGGTATTTTTAGGCACCTACTAGCCTAGAAGGGCATCTTGCAGCAGTATGCTGGACAGTATGTGGTTTTGATCCATAGGTCTATAGAAATAGGTCACCAGGACTTACTTCCGTGTCTCCGTAGTCTAGAAGCTCTACAGGAAACCCATCCACATGGGTGGCCTTGTGGTATTTGGAATACTGATGGCATAATTTCTGCTATCATGGCAGCCCATAAGCTACCTTGTCACAGCACACGGATAGACACTTTATACCACACTGTTGTCAAATCATTTCCAACTCGCAGTGACCCTCTGTTGGGTTTCAAAGGCTGTGATCTTTATGAGAGGAAACTACACGACTTTCTCCCATGGAGTACCTGGTGGATTCGAACTGCCAACCTTCTGACTAGCAGATCAACACATAACACACTCTGTCACTGGGGCTGCATGATAGAGAGGAGGAATCGTAGATAAAAGGAGCTCTGATGGCACATGGTTAAAGCACCCAAGTGCTAATGGAGAAGGTTAGTAATTTGCAGCCACAAGCTGTTCAGTGGAAGAAAGGTGCAGCAGTCAACTTCTGTGAAGATTTACAGCCTTGGAAACCCTATGGGGCAGCTCTGCTCTGGCCTGTAGGGCTGCTGTGAGTCAGGATGGAATGGTGCCAATGGGTGTGGTTTGCTTATCAGAAATCAACTGTAGGAATAGGAACATGGCTTGATATGTGGGCTACCAGGCAGATCCCGTAGCAGACCCACTGCCCTGCTCTTTGATGGCCCAGCTGGTGCCTGATTGGCCTGTGCTGTGTGCTGTGTCTACGTGAGCAATTGCGGCAGTAGGTGGATGGCCCAGGGGGAGGGAGCCCAGGCGACGATGGGCCATCCCTGGATCACCCAGTCTGCTCTGTTGTTTCACACCTTAGCCTCCTCCTCCAGCCCGAGTTCTGCTCTCAAGCATTACTATAGCAGGGGGAAAAATAACCCAAGTGAAAGTGGGTAAATCCAGTGCCACTATGTTGAAAACAGTGTGCACTCTTGGCAGGAGGGCATGTTTTTATTGATTAATGTTTGCATGTGACATTCAGTTTTCTAGAAAGAACTCAAATGGATAGTTTGGTCTTCATATGAAGATTTGTGGTCTTAAGATATTCTACAGTTAAGCTATTTATTTCCCTTTCCTCACAAACTAAAGAACCTTTTGGCAACAGTAAGGTTGATAGTGAGTTGATGTGTGCCAGTCCTTGTTGTAAACATGGCCACATATTAACTCATTTGATCTTCGTAACAACCTATTGACTCTAATTCATGGCTGCTGCACATGCGTCATCAGGTAGACCTGTGCCTCACAATGTTTTCCGAGATTCATTTTCAGAAGTAGATCGCCAAGGCTTTCTTCCAGGGCACCTCTGAGTATGCTAGAATACACTCATGGGGAGTGTATTAATCATTATGCATCACTTTTATTTTACTATTAAGAATCTGAAGAACAGAATGGATGAGTAAGTTGGCTAAGAATAGTCAGTCATCTGGTAATTCATGCCCAGCTGCCTGGTTCCAGAGTTGACGCTTTCACCACTTTGACCTGAAGAATCAGGTCCCTTTCTGGGATGGGGAGGTTCTGAGCTAATTTGCTCACTGTCATGGTCTAGGTGTACATGAGGCTGACAGCCCCTGTATTTTTCAGAGAAAAACCAGCTCCTGCTGTTGACTCACCCAGACATGGGCACCCTCCTGCCCTCCCTCTTGGCCTCCAGCGTTGGGGCTGTCCAGGAGGAGAGCCTCACGCTGCTGCTGCAGATCGCCCAGACCGAACATGGACGGAGCCTGATCCTCAGCCACCTTGACATGACCCGGTGAGGCTCTGCTGCTGCTGCAGCCGTGCTTGCTGTATCTCAGACAACCACCTTCTGAGCTAAGACATGCCTGTCTCCCTTCTCATACCTCATGTGTGAGGTGCCATCCGATTCATTGAGGGCAAATAAGAGCACGAGCCTTTGGAAGGAACACTTCTTCACAGGGCACAGTCCTGTGTGAACTTAGTGCTTAGAATGAATAGTTGTATTCCTCTAAACCATTGGCTTATTTCCATTTCATAGATACTATAGATAATGAGCATGGCAGTGTTCCCAAAGTCACATTTGAAACCACAAATGTGTCAACTACTTGTACACTTTTAGCCTACACCGTAAGTCTACCCTATGCCTGTCTCTGTTCTTTCATTCCTGTTTAAAGTACCACAGTCTTATTTTACACATCTTTAAATCCCTCTTGGAATGAGGTGTGATATCAGTGAATAAACTCTATACCAAATGCTGTTACAATTACGTTTTCCCCAGGCTTCTTGAAATAGGAATAGAATGCACCTCTGTTTCTAAGTTTTTGTTGTTTACTGGAGAGTCAGTAGCTGACCCATGGCTGATCTTCCAGAGGGTTTTCAGAGACAGCTACACAGTAGGAGATTACCCATCCTTCTCCTGCAGAGCAACTGGTGGCCTCGAACTGCATGTCTTTGGGATTGCAGCACAGCTTCTTGCCACTAGGCCACCAGAGCAGCTGAGCCACACTAATTCTGCCCTTTGCATTTCCTTCCAGAGATTATTCGCTTGAACAGACGGAATTGTCCTCTTTAGATCAAAAGCATTGACTGTAAGCCATCATGTGGTTCAGCCAAATGGAAGTAGTTGGTGTTGTTGTTGGGTGTTGTTGGGTTGGCTTTAACTCATACTGATCTGAACCACAGACCTGCACCTTGCCCTATCCTGTGCCACATTCACCATTGCAGTCACTGTGTCAGTCCAACTTGTTGCGTGCCTTCCTCTCTTCTGCTGACCCTCCACCTTTCCCAGCATGATGTCTTTGTCCAAGGACTGGCCCCTCCCGACAACATGCCCAAAGTATGTGAGATGGAGTTTCACCATCCTTGCCTCTAAGGGGCACTCTGGTTGCCCATCCTCCAACTTAGACTTACTTATATTTTTGGCGGACTGTGGGATAGTCAGTACTATTCTCCAGCACCACAGTTCAGAAGCATCCATTCTTCTGTCACCTTGCTCATTGTCCGACTGCCAGATGCTTAAGAAGCAATTGAAAACACCCTGGTGTCTATCAAGTGTGCTTTCGTCTTTAAACTGGAATCCTTGCCCTTTAGCACCTTAAAGAGTCCTTGACAGCAGTGTATAACATGTCTTTTGGATTTTCCCCTGTTATTACCGTGGGTAATAGTAGCAGTGATTGGAAAGAGTAATGATTAGAGCTTGCTTTATATATGTTTCATACAAAATCTGAAAGCAGGAGTTAATCTTCTGGTTTCTTTTGCAAGGACTTCATTTCTTCTCCCCTCATACTCTGAGGTGGACAAGGTAGATGTTATTACCCCGTTTCACATATGAAGAGGCAAGTGACTGAGAGTTTTTTACCTTCCTTCTCCCAGTTCTTATTCTCTGTTCCTATTAAGAAAAAACTAAAGGCCCCTCAGATCTTACACGGACCATGCCAAAGTCTCCCTTGAGTTTCCCATCTTGGTGGACTGAGGCAGGGTTGTGGCTGAGCCTGGCAGTCCCTCCCACTCTCAGCTGGCTCAGTGGCCCACAGCAGCGGCCTTGGTACCTCTGAGAAACTTAACCATCTGGGCAGATGGATCATTAGCAGAGTCAAAAGCACATTTCACATTTCACACGATTCTGCAGTCCTACTCCATCATATGTTTTTCATTTGGTTCCTGTTCCTCTGAGTAAATGTAGCTGTAGTTATCATAAGCTTTCTCCCCCAGCTAGCTTTGAATTGCTATAGTTTCAATTTTAATTTCCCCCGTTTTACAGATTAGTGTTTATGATTACTCCACACAGTCTTGTAATCTCTCTTTCAGCAAGAGAGCTCAGCTTATTACCTTTCGGCCTGCTAGTCTCGTTAATATCCATCTCCAGTTAAACTGGAAAGAAGTGTGAGATGCTCTCAGTAATGAGATGATTTGGTGTGAAGCAGGGATGAGGCTATGCATGGGTTCAGTGGTCCTTAAGATGCACACATGTCACAACCCTTCAGAATGCCCTCAGATGAGAAGTTGAAGGAATAAATTTGAACAAATAGGAATTGAGTGAGGGCTGGTGTTGCTTTGTGGAAAAGTGCTGTGTTTTTAGACTCAAGCAGCTCTGAGAACAGATCTTGTGGCTCACTTTATAGTCATGTGACCCAGGGAAGATACTCAACCTTACTGAGTTCCAGAGTCCCAGGGACTTTGGAAGATTACAGACGATGACGGATATGATCTTTTTCTGCTGCATTTTATGGAATATTTGGCCAAGCTAAGCTTATGCAAGATAGAGACTGGCTTGTTTTTCTCATGTAGAAAAGAAAAAATAAAACAACACAACAACAAAAGCCCCCATAGCAGACGGCAGCTGTTGTGTTGCCTCAGTGACTTGGATATGTCAAGGTTAAAGTCTCTGTCCTCTTGACTTTCCCTCAGGGTTACACACTAAATTAACTTCTTGTTAGGTGCCACCAAATCAAGTACAACCCACAGCAACCCTGTGAACAACAGATCTGAACCCTGTCCTACAGTGCTATCCTCACACTTCCAGCACACTAGAGTTCACTGCAGCAAGTCACTGTGTCAGTCTACCTGTTTGAGGGCTTTCCTTCCTTTGCCAACACTCCACCCTTTCTAGCATCACATCCCTCTCCAAGGAATAGCCAGCCCTTCCTAGCAACATGCCCGAAGTATGTGAGATGAAACTTGATCATCTTTGCCTCCTAAAAGGCTGCACTTTCTCCAGGACATATTTGTTTATTCTTTTGACCATCCATGGGATGTTTAGTGTTCTTCTCTAACACCACAGCTGAAAGACATAAATTCTTCTGTCATCCTTATTCATTGTCCATCACTCAGATACATAACAAGTGATCTGAAAGGCCATGGCCTGAATCAGACACACCTTAGTCCTCAAACTGACATCACTACTCCTCAGTAATTTGGAGTAGTCCTTAACTGCAGACTTTCCCAGTGCAATACTTCTCCTTATTTCCTGACTGCTAGAACCAACGGTGTTGATTATGGTTCCAAGGAAGATGAAGTTATTGACAGTTTTGGGCCTTTCTCCATCTATCATGATGTTGCAGATTAGTCCAGCAGTAAAAATCTTTGTCTTCTTGCTGTAAAGATGTAATCCATATTGATGACTGTATTCTTTGATCTTCTGCAACAAGTGTTTCAAGTCCTCCTCACTTTCATCAAGTAAGGTTGTTTCTAAAACTAATGAAATCACTGCTACTAAGTCAGAATAGTTCATAATTCCTCCTTCATCTGGTTTTTAGAGGCTGTAAATTGCACTGGAGGAGATTTCCCATCTTTCCCCCACAGAGTAGATGGTGGATTTGAAACCTCCACCTTTGGGTTGGCAGCACAACTCTTTATCCACTCAGTCACCAGAGCAAGGTAACTGCAATTCCACATCATCACAAACGTCACATTTCCATTTTAAACATGAGTGGCCTCCACTTCCTAAACAACATGCCTCTGGAAACTCTATGAACTTTGAGAAATGACAATAGTTATAGAAAGGCTTCAGGTCTTTTGTTCATAGGGTCGCTATGAGTCGTGCTCAACTCAACAGAAATCAACAACAAAGTAACTCGGCCTTCCTTTTATACCAAGAAAAACTGCTTATTTCTTTCTCGTCAGAATGATGCCATTGGCCACCACTGACTGAAAAAGTGAGGATATAATGGCTCCTGCTTCTGAGGTGGCATCGAGCACCTTGAAGAATGTGGGAATGTCTGCAGAGTGCCAGCAGACAGCGTCTGTCCAAGCAAATAAGCAACGAATGTCATGTGTGTGTTGTGGACTCAGGAATAATTTTATGATCATCTTCTCTGTAGAGAGCGTTATGTTCAGGGTACTAAGGAGAGGCAATTCTGCATTTATCAGTTACGGACTGCACTAGATCACGTTATGGCCTGTGGCCCACCCAGGGGTATAACTGCTTGTCAGAGGAGAGCAAAATCTGTCAAAAAAAAAAAAAAAGAAGGAGCAGAAAGGGACCCACTGTCCTCTTTCCATAGTGAGTCCAGTCAGGATGTGTATTCTGTCACATGACAAGGACACCAATGCTTGGGTCTCCAAGGACAAAAGCCCAGGATGGTCTTGGACGACTGTCTCATCTCCATTGCTGTTCATTAATATTCATCCTCAGGACTGAAGAAAATAGATTTAAATTGGTGAAGAAGAATCTGAACTAACAATAAAACAGATTCTATCTGACTGCAGGAGCACTGAAATACACTTCTGAGGAAGTTAGGGAGGGGCAGAAGCTTGGGACCATCTGGGACCTGAGGGTCCAGTCCAGGCCCCACGTGGCTCAGACGTCCCCTCAGTGACATCCGTTTATATCCTGAGCATGACCTCACCAGGGAAGATTTCAGCGTTTTTGTTGTATTTCTCTCTGTGTGTTTGGGAAGGGCCTAAAACATAGCTAAAAGACTTGAGTCTTTCCTCAGGGCATATGACTGTCACTTCCCTAGGCCCCCTGCCTTATTCTGGGACTGCTGTGGTTAATACACGGAGCTCACATCTGCCTTCCCCTCCCATTTTGGGGTAGTGCTGCTGCCTTCCAGTGAGAACCTGCTTCTGTCCTCTGAAACTCTGCAGAATTTACCAAATGTTCCCATATTCCAGTCTCTGAAAAGTGTATCTAAAGATACCAACAATTTCCCAGCCAAACATGCAAGTTCCTACTCCTCAGTGATGTGGTCTCTAGACCCTTCCAGAAGCAGCTGACTGTGTAAATACAGGACCACAGTGGCAGAGGACTGATGCATCGCCCCGCTCCTCCAGGCCAAGCCCAAGCGGCTCTTCAGTCATTCTTTCCCTTGACTGCTCTGTGACATGTGGCTCTGTTAATCTCTTTGGCCTCCCTTCAAACTCCACAGCATCACTTTGCCTGGCTCTTCCTACTTTGCTTTTCACTCTTGCTTGCATTTGTGCGTCCCTTACCCCCACCTAAGCTATCACTGCTTACCAATCAGGGGCCCTGGATCCATCCCCATGTCCCTCTTATTATTCACGACTTTAACTACCACTCATAAATTTCTTCTTGAACACTAAACACCCCTCAGACACTAGGCAGTTCCCTCTCAGGGTCCACAACTATCATAAACTTAAAATCCGAAGGTGATTCTTACAAGCAGATCCTCTGCCTGCGTTTCCTATCCTTGTCGATGGCATTTCATCCATCCAGTTGTCTAAGTTAGAATCCCATGGTTACTCGGGATTCCTAGATCTTCTCTGTTAGCTCTTCCTTGTTGCTTCTGAGTTTCTGATCCTGTGATATCTTCATGGGGCTTGTTAGGTATCTTCCCCCATCACTGATTACTGGCTTGCTTGTTTTAATCTTTTTTATATCAAAAGAGATGACCTTGATACCAATCCTTCTCATTAGCATAACAGAGAACCTGGCTCTAACTGCGATGGTCACCACAGACATGGAGGTTAAGATGTACAGCACATAGTTTTGGGTGACACAGTTCAATCTGTAACATTCCACTCTTTGAATCCCCCAAGAGGCAAGAATGGTAAAGCTTCATCTCACATACCCTCTGGGCATGCTTTCGGGAGGCGGTATTCCTTGGGAAAAGGACATCATGCTTGGAAAGGTGGAGGGAGGGTCAGTCAGTGAAAGCGGGGAAGATCCTCAGTGAGATGGATTGACACAGTGTCAGTGGGAGCAAGTAGATCAGAGACGAGAAGGACAGGACAGGGTTCAGACCTGGTGTTCACAGGGTCGATGTGAACCTGCGAAATCTCCAGTAAGAGATATTTGCTTCCAAAGTACGATGGTAGAATAGACACAAGCTAGACATTTCCAGTAACAAATGGGAGAAACTGGACGGAGAGAAAGGATGAGGGACACCAAGCAAACCCAGAGTGTAGGAGAACAATTTAGATTAGCTCTAGAGACTTGAAAATAGTCCCCCACTTCCTGGAATTGCCCCCTGGAATGGAGCTGACCCCACTCTTCTCGGTTCTGGTGGGAGGCCTCTCAGTCCTGACCTCCATCTCCACCTTCTGTGTCCAATGGGACAGCCGCTCTGCCGCCTTAGCTTTGGACCACCCTATTCTTCTCGTCCATCTGAGTGGTGGCTCCAGCCCCACAGCCTCTCCAGGCCTTGGACTGGAGCGTCATCCTCCAGGGCAAACTGAATGGCAGCCCCACCCTCTGGGGCCAAGTTGGTCAAGATCTGACTCTTTGAAACCTGAGAGGTTATGGCTCTGCCTTCGACGCCCAGAGGCCAGGGTCTCATCTTTGAGACTGAGGCAGCTCTTCTTCCTGAACTCCTTTCTGAGTTCTGCTTCTCTTTGAGCTGCTCCAGGGATGTGCCTTCCTTTTCTTGGAAAACAACGGATAGAGCTCCTTTGGCCTGTTTCCTGCCTGTAGAATTCCATGAGACGAACTTCTCTTTTCTGTCCCCTTCAGAGTAAGCCCAGTGTGTTTTCTTCTGTGGTGATTGATTAGATCCGTCAGTCAGGGGCTTAATGTCTTTAATAAAACTGTGTAGCCGAGTCCTTGGTGCTCATTCTATGATATATGCCCTTAGTTTGTACAGCAGAATTTTCCAAATCTCTTAGGTTTTGTTTTCATTGTGCACAGTCTGTTTTCAAGTCCACTTCTTCTCTTCCTGCATTTTATACAATTATATAATTCAGTCCATGATACCTCCCTGCCCACATCCGTAATAAAAACCTTTACTCTCAGTTCTGCCTCCCCAGCGTCTCCTGGATTCACGTCTTCCTGCTTCCCCTCCTCCACCATCCCTGATCATCCTTCTGAGCCCCTCTCTCATTGCCTGTGCCTCTTCCTCTGCCACCACCTCAGCTCAGCACCTTAACCTCCAGTATCAGCACCATCACAGCTCTCACTGCCTGGACTCCCTGTCACCTGTGCTACTTGGTCCAGTCTAGCCTCCAACGAACTGTCAGAGCAATTTTGCTAAAATGCACACATATCCTGTACTTTTTCCTTCTTGACATGCTTATTGCGACCTTTCATCACCAATAACAATATTTCTCCAACTACTATGACATACGATGTATAGGAGTCACCTGGGGACTTTGTAAAAATGCAGCCTCCTGGAGCCATTTCCAACTCAGAAACTGAGGAGGACAAGTGATCTGCGTCTTCCACATAAAGCTGGTTGTCTCCCAGCTGCACTTTGAAAACATGGGCCTTCAGGGTAAAACACAGCCGTTCCAGCAGGCTGTAGACTGTCTGCCGTGATCGGGTCTCTGCCCAGCACTGCCTCCCTCAAGCCCTCAGCACTAACTATAAGAACTCTGACGAGCTCCCCAGATGTGCCCTGTTAGCAGGCTGTCAGGTTTAATGCCTGCTCTGTACCCCAAATGCTTTGCTTCCTGTCCCATCTGCCTGGCACTGCTCTGGGAGCAGCGACTTAGTCTTGTTTCATTTTTGTGGCCCCAGAACCTACCACATTACCAGATACCTTGCCTGGCACATGATAAATCTCATAAAATGTCTTTGAGTGAGTGCATAAAGGAACAAATAGCAGCACTACACTTTCATGAACATTTCAAATATCTTCTGACCTTTGAAACCTGTCTTTTGTCTTTCTTCTCCAGATTATCTTTTTATCTTTTAGTCTCCAGATAGATGGCTATGGCCCACTAACATGCATCTACTTCTCTTATAACAATGCAAACCATTTCTCTTCCTTGGGAGACCAGCAGTCTTGTATCCTAGTGCTGAGCATGGTGATGTTTGTCCAATGAGTAAATTACCCTTCCTTTATTGTTGAGTTAATAGCCCTATAGGAAAGCCTGAAACCCCGTTAACTTTTCTTGGCTGCTGTACCATTCTTTCGGCTCACACTGTGTTTATAGTTGGTTAAAAGCCTTCAAATCTTTTTCATATGAACCATCTATAAGCCAAATCTAATTCTGTTACTGACACAGGATTTCCAGTCCTGAGTGGAGGGCTTTGAGTTTAACCTTATGAAATGACATCTGACTTGCTAAAAAGCCTGTAAGAATCTTTTACAATTTCCAGTGTTGGGGGGACCCTCCAAGCTCGAGTTGTCAACAGCTTAGTAAGAATTTCTTTTAGATACCGTTTAAATACATAATCGTGACCAGGCCAAGCTAGACACATGGTAGAGGCACCACAGGGGCCTTTCTTAATTACCTTCCTGCATTTTAATCAATCAACTTTCATTAGAACATTTAAATGTCTATCATTTGATAAATGGATAAACAAAAAATATGGCATATCCTTCCTATTTGAAAACCCTTGTTGGTAGGTGGCATGGTGCTGGAGACCAGTTTGAAGGTCATCTACAGGAGCTGGTTCTACAGAGGCTGGGAGTGGTGAGCACTAGGGTGGAATGTTGATTCATTAAGGGAAGTGAGGACATGTAATAAGGCCTCCTACTTTTGGACCCTCGGACCTGTGGCCCTCAAGCCTGGTTTAAATTGTTTTTTGACAAACATTCTTCCAAAATGGCTTGCCTCTGGAAGCTACAAACAGTGCTCAGGTCTTTCCTTCGTAGGGTCACTATGAGTCGTCTACAACTCAATGGCATTTAACAACAACAACATGGCATACCCAGACACCAAGAAGCACTAAGACACTCTGATAGGCTAGGGGTAAGGAGTTGCACTGCCAACTCAAAGGCAGGCAGTTTGAATCCACCAGCTGCTTCACAGGTAAAGGAGGGGTAATCTCCTCCTGTGCAATTTACATCCTCTGAAAATCCACCAGAGTGTCAGCTATCAGTTGGTTCCAACCTGACAGCAGTTAGATTGAGAGAGTAACCCAGAAACTGGAATATTGTGTGTCTGTAAACAGAATGTAGCATTGATACATGCAACAACACAGACGGACCTGGAAAACTGTGACTTTCCATTACCTATGACATGCGAGGAAGAAAGCCAGACAAGGATGGCCATGTAGTGTATGATTGCATTTGTATCCAACAACCCGAATAAACACAGATACAAACAGAAGATGGGTATGGGCAAGCATGACTGGGTAGTGACTTCTCAGTGGGCGCAGAGGGTGTCTGAGGAGTAATGAAGAGTTTCTGTGCACACTGGTAACAGCTTCAGAACATTGTAATGCACTTAGTGCCACTGAACAGTACACTCGAACATGGTTGAACAGTAAATTACATGTTGTGTGTGTTTGATGACGTTAAAAAGAGGGAGAGAGAAATTTGAGAAGGGTTCAGCTCTCTGGGAAGTCACATTAAGTCATTCAGATAGGACCCTGTCCTGTCCCTTTGAAAGAGCGAGGGCTCCCAGCAGGTAAAACCAGCCCCCATCCCACCCCACCGGCCTCGTCCTCCATCACCCAGATGCTTGTTTCCTCATGATCTCCTTCACGGTCACTTTGTTAGAGATGTTGTTGGTTCGAGGACAGTCTACTCTGAGGTGACTTCTTGTGGGGTTTTGCAGATTGTTGGAGGCCCTGGTGTTGTTCCTTCATTTCTCGGATCAGAAGGCTGACACAGCTATGGCACTACTCACAGACTTGGCTCTAGAGAAAAGGTAATTTGTACTTTCAGACTGTTACATTTCTTCTTAAACCTTTGTTCCACTGTCTGATCCTCAGGAAATTTGGCGATGTCACCTCTTGGGCATCGCAGAGTCACCAGCAGGAGGGCGAATGCGCCTTCCAGGGGTGCCCTGTGATCGGCTCCTTCCACCTCAGTCCCTCTGATCCTCAAGGTGCTCAGTACTGCTCAGAATGGCCAACTGACCACAAGTCTGGGAGGGGTCTTCCTTTAATTGGGGGCTGGTGCCTGCTCAGCAAAGGTGTACTGAATGAATGTGAGGGAGTGGTTAACTATGAGCAGTGAAACGTGTTCAGTGTGCTAGTGGCATGAGTAATCTCTGTTTTCCTCCACTTAGTTTGTCAGTCTTTTCTGGGTTCCTGATTAAGAAGCTTGTAGCCTCTGAAAACCACTGAAGGGTCAGCTAAGAGTAAATTCTGACTCTACAGCAATGAGTTTGTTGTTGAATACAAGCTTTAGGACATCCTACTTTAAAATGTTGCACATGAGAGACAAGCCTTCTGGATGTCAGGGGCGGGAGTGTGTACTAGCCAATCCAGCATGTGGCTGTGAGCACATCTGGACCCTCCTCAGGGCTGTGGCAAGGACACATATTTTCAGTGTCTCCAATGGTCACACAGTACAAGGACCATGAGCTAGGAACGATGGTGTTAAGTCAGTCTGCCAGAAACCTGAAAATTCTGGCAATTTCTGCCTAAGTGAGCTGCCGTCTGAGCTCTGTTTAATATCAGACGCAATCCTCCAGAGTTGGAAAAATTAAAACCACTTTACATTCCGAGTGACGTGTTTCTGGTTCAAAAGGAATCATGCATGCATATTACAAATCACAGGGGGCCACAGAAGTCGTGGCTGTCTGATGTGTTAGCCAAGACACACTGTATTTATGTTACCATTAGTGCAATGTAGAAATAAATGATGACTGATGTTTCCCACACAGATTCCGGGTCTGGTTCCAGGCCAGCCTTCCAGGTGTTCTCCCTGTGCTCAGAGGTGTTCTGGTGAGCAAGCCCTGGTTCTTACCACCTGTGACAGGCACCCCCAGGAGCAGGAGCAGAGCCATTCAAACACAATTTACATGCCAGAAACGCCTGTTGTTTCACAGATTGATTAATCATTTGTTCACAGCTAGAATTTACACATTCCTCCATTATTACAGACAGCTGTTGTTGGAACAGGTGGAGGTGGCATATGGAGGTGGTTGGTGACAGAGTAGAAGAAAGCAGGGTACAGAATGCATTGTAGGTAAAGGAAGTGAGGGCCTCCTGCTGGCACTAAGCCCTGTCCTCAGGACCACAGACAGTCCTGTCCCACGAATGGAAGTGTTGACAGTCTGAGGTGATAGGTAGATGGTCGTACAGGAGGAGAGATTTCTCTGTGAAAGAGTATTCTGTGATTGAGCTCTTTCCTCAGCAAGCCATAGACATTTGAGAGCTTACAGAACACACTCACACTCCAGGATTTCACAGATGTGGAAAGGGAGGCTCTGAGGAGGGAAGATTTGTGGAGGGGCTGGAGTGAAGCCCAAGGCCTTTTGATTTCTGAGAAAAGGCTGCATTCAATCTTCTCCACTGTGTGCCTTCATCCCATTGCCAGTGGGGGCCACTTTGATGCTCCATGGTGTGTCACACCATGAAGGATCTTGAGGACAGGGAGAGACACCAGTGATGTCATCTCTTACCTGTTGAGAATTCATTTTCTCTTGGTTCACCTTTAGAAGATTGATCCCAAGGTCACCAGGCTCTCAGCTCTTAACCAGTTTATTGCCATCATGGGAAACCTCTGTGCTGACGCAGCCACCCGAAGGCAGATGGCCGGCTGTGAAGAATTTGGAGACGCCTGCTTGAGCTTTATGGTACTCTAGCTTTTCTATCCTCAGTTAACCTTTACGTTTGGGGGCATTTGATTCTTAACGGACTTTCAAAAAAATGCTGTTACAGCACCTGACTTCTCTCTCCTCTAACTGAGCTTTATAGACTGCTAGATTATAAACCCTCCAGGCTAAGTCTTTTCTGCCTTGGAGAGTTTGGAAGGGTTTTTGGTGGCCTTAACTTGTTCATCCATGGTAGCAACTCACTGTTCAGTTTAACCACATCTTCTCCTGTACTAACAGTGACTCAGTGGATGAGTCTAGGCTGTTCAACCTCCCTTAGGCTCATGCCTCTGACAGCGTAGGGAGTGTGGCTGATGTTGAGACCCTTGTCAAGTGAAAAGCTCAATTACCTTGTGTTCTTTCCAAAGGCCAAATGTGAGGAGGATCTGAGCCTGTTCCGAGAGGTCATGTATACTTTCCTGGGTCTCCTGATGAACTTGTGTCTGCATTCTGCCTTTGTGTCAAAGGTATGATATTCTTTCCTTCCCACCTAGAACACTGGGGCCATGCCATCACACTCTATTGACTAAAACTACTTTTATTTTTGCAAAGAAAATAGAAAACCATGCACTCCAACACTGGTGGTTGGAATGGGGAAAGACAGATAGATGATCTACTGTGTTACTCTGCCAAGGAGTAGATGAGTCATTCAGTTCTTTATTCCTGGATTAATTGAAGGTCCAAGGTGCACTGAACATAGCACTATGTTTCTGTGATTGATTTGCAGCCAAAATGTAGTTCCCGTTCTCAAGGTTTATGCCAGGTAGTCAGGGCAGACAGATAAGGGAAAAAAGAACAAAAATAAAAGGTATAGTGAGGGACGTGCAGGCATAATATGGTTGGAAGGAACATTCAGTTCTGAGAACTCAGAGGAGCTCCGTAGAGAATTCAGTCTCTCTCCTTTTCCAACCCTGTTGCAGGCTTGGGCCCTGGAGGTGAGCAGACGATGCATGTCTCTGTTGGACAGCCAGGACGGAGGAATTTTGACAGTAAGCTTCTCCCTGGGAAATCCAGGCTTGACTTTCCATTATCTGATCTTTCTTGTTTATTGGCTTTAAAATATCAGTGAGTCTTAACTTTTGGCAGGTCTTCTCACCTTTGAGAATCAGCTGACTCCCTCGGGTGCTGTGAAGACCTCCACAGAGCAGTGCCCATAGCAGATACATATCTAATTTTGCCTGCTGTTTCCAGGACTTCCATAACCCCCAAATGCCCATCTCTAGACATTTGGGGGCACTGAACCCAGGTTAAAGATCTCTGTTCTCTATGGTCTGGAATTTAGCCAGGGAGGCACTAGTGGCATAAAGGCAAGAAGCTAAGCTTGTAATCCCAAAGGCGTGTGGTTCGAATCCACCAGCTGGTCAAATCCACCAACTTCTCTGCTGGAGAAGGATGGGCAGTCTCCTCCCATGCGATTAACTGCCTGTGAAAACCTGCCAGAGCGTCAGCTATGGACTGGTTCTGACTCAATGGCACATAACAGTAACATACAACGTAATATGTCAGATTTGTCCCATTTTAAAATATCTCTGTGGAACTGAGAAATTTTATTTGGAATTCTTTTGTTTCCCCACGGTCTGAAAGGCCTAGAGAATATTTTCAAGCCAGTAATCTGATCCTGGAGGTTGTTTGTGCAAAGCAGCGTTAACCCCCTTGGAAAGAGATGCTGAAATAGCTTCCCTAATTCTATTTCTGACATTTGGATAAGAAAACTGAGACGGGTCTGTGGTTAGTTCTGTGCGTTGGGTGAATACTAATATGATTCAAAAGGCTGTTTGCCAGTGAGGTGGGATGTGTTCTTCACCCAGATTAGTTATCACTTGTTTTCTTTTTACCTGTCAAGGCCAGAGCCCCAAAGACTTGAGGAATCGGGATCAGATTCAGGCTGTCTGGAAATGTGGCCCTTCAAGGACCTCAGACTGGGCGCTTCTTGTGGATTTTGGTGACATTTAGAAGTAGCTCCAATATCTTCTGTTTAGAAATAGCACTCTGCAACTTTCTTGAAGCCATTCAGACTTTTTTACCGGAGCTCCTTGAGTTTGTTCTATTGTATAGAAAATGTTACGTGTATATGCTTTTCCACAAAAAGAGCATCATAGTTTTCATAAGATCTTCAGAAGAGACCCAGGACCTGAAAGTGGTGAGCACCACTGGTCTTGGGAGTTTGGATGGTCTGGACCTAAAGCTCAGTCTACATTCCAATTAGACAATTTGCCAGTGAGTCGATCCTGGTGTCCCCATGGATGTCAAAATAAAACTGTGCACCAGAGAGTTTTCTTTCTTCTTTTGGTTTTTAAATTGTGAAAATCTATATAGCAAAACTAATGTCACGTTAACAGTGTCTCCGTGTACAGTTCAAAGACACTGTTTATATTCTCCAAACTGTGCACATGTCCTCACTCTCCTTTTCCAGATAACTGTATTAAGATAGACAGTCCACAGGGTTTTCAGTGGTGGATTCAGAAGTAGATCAACAGGCTTTTCCTCCACATTCCTTCTGGGTGGCCTTGGATGTCCAGGTTTTGGGTTAGCACATTAACCCTTTTACCACCCAGGATAGCCCGTCTAGGTCCATAGTGCTCCCCTGGATGACCCTTTGGGGAATCTCGAGGGCCAGGTTTCCCCAGGATCCTGCAGGTCCACAGCTGGGTGCTTTCCAGCTCTTATACAAGATTGCAGCTTCACCACAGGAACCAGGTCCCCCAGTCAGACACTGTCCCCACCACAGTGTGCCTGACAGGAGACCTGCAAGATCAACTTCAGCAGAATTGTAGGATCTATAAGGAGGACATTTAGGGAAACACAGCTGATAATGTGATAATACACACGTTTATCCCTGCTGTCTCTGGAGACCTCATTAAAACAAGGCTTAAAGGCAGGAACACAGTTCGAAAAAGTTAAAAATCCATATTGACAAAGCAAAAGGCAGGTTCAATGAGTAATTTCAACAAGTTTCTGGAAGATGGATCACAGCTGCAGGGAGTGGTAATTAACAAGGCAGCGATGAAGAAACTTTGAATAAAAGGAGGGAAACAAAACTGGGCAGGAGCGATGTGCCTGCAGTGCCCTGAGAAAAAACACAGTTCCAGGTGCGACCAAGGGCAGAGGGAAGAGGTGGGGAGCTGCATTGAAAAGCCAGGTGCCTGCCTCCCAGGCATAAAATCAGATTTTTTTTTCCCATTAAAGGGAATGAAAGAGTAGAGAAAAGATGTCTATAGTCGCATATTAAGTGAGGGGAGCTCTGGCAACAGCATCTGAAGATAGTTTGCTGCTAAGCCAAATAGTAACAGGATCGCCTCTCTGGCACTTGGAATCTACCAGCTGCTTTGTGACAGAAAGGTGGGCAGTCTCCTGTGTGATTTACAGCCTCAGCAAACCTGCTGGAGGCTCATCTCTGTGTGGTTCCGACTACAGTAATGAGTTTGATGGGGTTTTTTGGTGTTAAGGGTAGGTATTCCTGTTTAGCACAAAGTTAAGCCCTCAATGACTGAAGAGGTTTTAAAGCTTTTTAAACTGAAGGGGGGAAAGGGGGGGGGGAAACCCCAAAACGCTGAAAGGTTCGTTGTTTGCACTCACCCTTGACAGAAAGGATTGGCAATCCACTTCTAAAAGGTAAAAGCCTGGAAAATTTTATAGAGTGATTCTATTCTGCACCCATGGGGTCACTGAGAGTCGGAATCAGCACAGTGACAACTAACAACAAGTATTAGAGTGCTGAAGCTGAGGAAAATTAAACCAAATCCACAGGAGCCAAAATATGACTTTGATTTCATACCACCTGAATTTCAGAATCATCTCAGGAACAGGTTTG